TGGAGGGAGTCAGAGAGGCCGGGGACCTCAGCCAGGCCGAGAAAGGGCCCCAGAGGGGTGAGGAAGACCACTTACGGCCCTGGAGGAGGCAATCAGACGTCTGGGGGGTGGGGTGTGTGTGACCCGGAGTGCCTGGCAGGCAAACGGGTGAGCAGGGCTCGCATTCAGCCGCCGCCGTGCTCAGGTCCTGTGTCCCTGGGTCTCTGCCCCAGTGCTGTGAGCGAGAACTGTGAGAACCAGCACAATAGCCAACACTTGCCTCCACCAATACCTTTTGAGCACTTCCTTGTGCCGGGATGGTCCTGCTCATGGGTGCTGGGGAGCCAGGGGTGCCGCAGGGCTGGGGGTCAGGACCCCGGCACACGGATGACTTATGACCTGAGCACGGGAGAGCTTTCACCAGTGCAGAGCGTGTCTGAACCTGGGCAGATGCTCCCGCCAAGAAAGGCAGGCCAGGGGATGGGTGACCAGGGAGCAGTTGTGACACGTGTCAGGGTCAGGAGTCCCAGACTGCTTGCATGTGTCCGCACATGCTCTCCCACGCCTGCCCCATAGGCTGAGGCCTCAGCCAGGCCCTGGAGGTCTGACTTCGACCTGATTGTGGTAGACACACAATAGCCCTGCTTGTTTGCTGAGGGAACGGTGCTGAAATGGGTCAGCACAGTGATGGCGGGTAGGGAGCTGCTGAGGCCCCATGAACCTTGACCGGTGGGCCACACTGGTGGGGAGGGCACCTGCCTCTGAGGCTGGATCTGCCCTTGGCAGCTGCCTCTTGGCTGCTCTGTCTGTCCCTGGAGACAGGGAACAAGGGGACTCTTTGGGGCTCTCACCTCCTTCCTCCCTCACCCTCATGGTTACCCTGGCCGATCCCATCCCCCTGTACTGTCTGACCAGGGTGCCCCTCTGCCCCTCCAGGACTCAGGCAAGCTCTACATGGGCACCTACACGGGACCCCACCAGCCCTGGGCAGTTCACTCTGGAGGTAGCAGCTCCCACCTTGCCCCTCCTCCCCTGCCTCCACAGGCACCCTACTAAGAACCCATGTCCCCATGTCCCCAGCCTGCCCACCAGGCAAGAGGTGCTGTGAGCAAACCAGCCCTCCATGGTGGGGCAGGCTCTTCGGACGTGGTGCATGAGCTGTTTGCGGTGCGGAGGAAGGATATCCTGTACGTTGGGGACCGCATCCTTGGGGACCTCCTCAAGTCTAAGAAGTGTCAGGGCTGGCGGAAGGGGCCTGGAAGGGGGGCACGGGTGGCTAGCACAGAGGCCTGCCCTTCACCATCTTGTCTTCTTTCCTGTTGGGGGTTGGTAGTGACCTTAATAATATTGTCCACTCTGTGCTTCACCAGAGCGGAACTCCATTATCCCTGAGGAAACAGATCCAGAGAGGTTAAGCAGCTTGCTCAAAGTCACACAGCCAGAAAGGGCAAGGCTGACTCAAATTCCTATGTCCTGACACCAGAGTGCTGTGGTGTTTCCGTAGTCTGAGGCTTCCTTCCCCACCTGACTCTACCGTCCCCATCAGTTGAGGACTCTCAGAGAGTGGACGGTCCACTCCCCCACCTGGGAATGACTGGTATCTTCGGGGTCAGGAGCGGCTGTGAGCCCAAACAATTCAGGTTTGTTCTAAGAGCTGGGTTTGACTCATGAGCATGTGACCTTGGGTGGATCACCTGACGCCCTGACCGGCTTCCTCACAGGTCTCCACAGGACTTCTGCTGTCTTTGCTTTGCTCTGGGTGGAGTTTCACTCAATGAAAGGAAGAGGTGAAGGATGTTATGCACACAGCTTGGTATGTTGACCCCTGGTGACACCACAGGTTGAACTGGGCCTGGGAAAGACAATGGTAGTCAGGGCTGTCACTCACCCCCCCTCCCCCCACTGTCCCCTGTCCACTTTTCAGAGCGGAGGGAGGAGCTGAAGAGGCCACACGTGTGCCTGGTGGAGCTGTACCAGTGAGAGCCCAGCCCGCAGAGGGGAGAGGGCTGGAGGGTCCTGTGCAGTGGCCAGGAAATCACGATCTGTTCCAGGCTGGCCTTCCTTGCTAAACTGGATTTGGGGAATCCCTCTGACCCCTTGGGTCACATTGTGACCTATAGGCCCCTCCTTCTTACCCACTCAGCACGGACTCAGGAGGCCTGTCCTCTCACACACGTGACAACCCCAGCCCAGCACCCTCCCTGGGTGGTCGCAGAGTGCCCTCCGACCTCCACAGGGGTCAAGAGAGGTTGGGCCTGCATCTCGGAGGCCTCCTGGGTCACGTAGCCATTTTTGCAGCAGGCGCATGGACGGGAGCAGTTATGGACCGCAAGTCATCAATCCCACCATGAGAGAGATTCAGGTAAGCATGCTGAGGGGCTCAGTCCCAGGTTCCTGAGCCCAGTTCCGGGATTTTCCCCAACCGCTGCAGGGCCACAGCTGTCCTTGTCTGCTGGCTCCCTCTGCTGGCCCATGTTCCAAATGACAGCCGCGTGCTGCCCCAGAAGGGCCGAGTTCAGCCTGTGGGGTGATTTGTGGCGCGTCTCTCCATCTCCCTTAACCTTCCTTGAGATGTGCAGGCCTGACCATTGACTGATAGCCAGCTGTGATCAGCGAATAGGGACAGCCTGATGAGCCACCCCAGGAGATGGGTTTGAGGGCCAGTGAGCTGATGGGTCCCGGGAAGAGGAGGAAGGAAGATGCTCCGTTGGCACTACTAACCAGATCCCAAAGCTGGGAGAGTCACGTAGGCCACATCAGGGGGGATTCAGGCCACTTAGCATTCACAGAGCCAGTAGGGCTGAATAATGAAGGATCTCTGCAGGGCCTTTGCCTGGGCTTTATACTTTATACTTTGTCTACTGTGTGATCCTTCCCTAGCCCTGAGAAGTGGGCTGTGCAGGGACAGTTACCTTTATTTTACAGATGAGAAAATGGAGGCTCCATGAGGGGCAATAGCAAGCATTTGGTCCCTCTGGGAGTAAAAGTCCAGACCAGTTCTCTAGACACTGAAAGCAAGGCCTGATGATGGGGTAGTGGGCTTGCGGAGGGGGCAGGTGTGGGGCTGGGAGGATGGGCCTCCTCACGCGCTCTCTGTTGGGGGCATCAGAAGCTACATTAAGCTGAGGGTTTAGTCTGGTGGTCTCTCTCCAGGTCCAGGCAGGTAACTATGAGGAAAGCAGGGAAGGGAGGCCCGGGCAAAGCGGAGAGCTGCCCCACCACCCGAAGCACCAGTAGCTGCTGCCTCTGGGTTTAGAGAACCCAGCTCCTTCCCTACCCAAGGGCAAAGGCCTCAAGTTCTAGGGGTGATAGACCCAGGGAGAGCTCAGCGGGGCCTGGCCCCAGCAGGGTAGTATTGGCTGTGGGTGACACAGGTCTGGGTGGGGTGGGATCTCTCCTCTGCCAGGCAGTCACCCTGGAGCTGGACCTGTGCTACAGCATGATGGGCAGCCTGTCTGCTGTGGCTTCTGCCAGCTGATCTTCTCCAACCAGCTGATGGGCTCTGCAGACCTCTGCGCTGCCACCTGCCTCAGCTCGCTTCCCTACCTGCTTAGCTCGCTGTATCGGGCGGCCCTGGAGCTGGCAGGTCCCTGAAGAGCTTCCCCAGCATCCCATTCTGCCCCAGAAGGACTTGCTGGTCCCCGGCCCTGCCAAGAGCTTTCAAGGTCGCCAGACCCAATCTCCCACCTCCAGGGACAAGTGGATCCAAGCCTTACAGGGAATTGTGGGACATTAGAAAGGCTCAGGAGGAGTTACAGTGATAGATATAAGATGCCGCTGCCGGGACCTTTCCCTCCTGCCCAGCCTTCCCAACTGCTTTAAACTGAGACCAACTTAACTCAGTATTTCCTTAGTAGAGAGGATACCAGATGCTAGGAGGAAGGCGGTAGTCCCTCTCCCTTCATTAACACAGGGTGACTTCAGGAGAAATGGACGAAGCAGCAGATGGTACAGTAAACGTCTCAGCTGGCTTTCCTGTGGAACACCTGCGCATGCTCCTGGGTCAAGGGCAGGGAGGTGGAGGTGGGGATGACATCATTGGGATTATCGGGGAGCCGTGAGACAAACCCAGGCAGCGTGTCCCTGAGCATGTGTGTCAATTCTCCCAAAAAAGTGTCAATATTTTCATCTTGTGACACAGAGTCTCATGTCGAGGATCTAGACTTGAAAGGATTTTCTGGGGTTCCTTGCCCCCTGCTTTCCTTGCCATTCTCAGCTGCCTTCCAGGTGCTTGAGAGGGGTAAACCATTTTTCCGAGTGTCTCCTGGGTTTCCTGCATTGGCTAGGTGCCTTTTTATTTTTTTAAAGTAGTAATTTTGCTTAATGCTCAGTGTAACCCACCGGAGAAGGTCTTTTTTTTTTTTTTTTTTTTTAGATTTTATTTATTTATTTGACAGAGACACAGCGAAAGAGGGAGCACAAGCAGGGCGAGTGGGAGAGGGAGAAGCAGGCTTCCCACGGAGCAGGGAGACCGATGTGGGACTCAATCCCAGGACCCTGGGATCATGACCTGAGCCGAAGGCAGATGCTTAACGACTCCATTCAGGCACCCCCAGAGTAGGTCTTTAAGTCCTCATTATGCCATGTGAAATGGAAGTGCAGAGAACCTGAGTACTTTGCTGTCATGCTGCTAGTAGACTGCAGGGTCAGAATTTGAAACCAGTGTCTTGAAGAACTGGGGACATGCTCTGTCCCCTCTACCCCACTGCCACACACTGGCAAGGGGGGAGTAAGCTCTCAGGATGCAGCCTCATCTCATCGCCAGGTTTTTAGATGAGCAGGGCTGGGGGTCTGAAATATAGTTAGATGTCATTGCTAATGTAGTGACCAGGAAGGTGAAGAAAAAGCAACCTGAGCACCAAAGTGAAACATGTAAAGAAACCTGGCCTTTGCTCATCCATGCTGGCCTAGGATTAAGTGCTGTCCATTTACTAGAGACTTCCTTCTCCGGCTGACTCCCCCCACCCCGCATCCCGCCCCAGGCTTCCTCTTCTGCAGCATCATTGAGCAGGAAGCCAGCAGCTGTGAGCTGTGAGTGAAGTGGTGGGTTGTCATTGTCTATGCATAACTGAGGGCTTCCAGAAAATCTTGCCATGGAAGGAGCTGCTCCATCACCACTGGCACGTGTCTCTGCAGATGCCCCATGAGTCAGTTGTGGAGCCAGAATGAGCTAACCTGGGTCCCTTCTCCTGCCCCTGCTTCTACCGCCAGAGGGTGAGTTGCTGGGAGAAGGCAGGTTGCTTCTATCCACAGTGGAGCTGGGAGGAGCCAGCTGGCTGTGCCGGGGGAGCTCAGCCACCTGGGGGCTACCCTGGGTAGAGTAGGGGTCCCCAATGGAATGGTACTCAACCGAGGAGGCATCTTGTCTTCAAGTGTAGTTAAAAATTCCTGAGTATTTATGTTGGAATTTTACTATTTTATCATAAATCGCTTTGCTCTGGATTTCTCCTATGTTATAGTATTACATTGATTTTTAAAATTATGGAGACACTAACCACATTATCTATGAATTTTGATTCAGGGGAGAAAAGAAGAAATTAAAATGTTTGTTTTCAAAATGGGGCATTGGGTCCCTCAGGGCCAGGAAGCACCGGCTCTGAGCCCAGATTCACAGGTTTTGTTCTTTAGAGGTGAGCTGGTGCCTTCCACCTCTCCAGCCCGCTTTTGGCCGATTCATCTGACAAATCCATTCCCACTCTGGAAAAGGCTGCAGAACCCGTGCTCTTCCAAGCTAGGATTCCTCTCCAGACAGCTTTTGTAAACACAATGAGCAGGGGCCCTGCTTCAGCTCCTTTGTCACGTCGTGCTGCCTGGTCCCCCTGCGAGTGGACATTCCAGCTTTCGTGAGTGGCAGCCTTGGCTCCTAGTCTGGTTCTGCCTCCCGAGCCATGATTTTTAAAACATCCACCTCGTAGGTTTCCTTTGGCTGGAAGGTGCCAGGCTCAGTGTGCGTGTTTTCAGCTACTGTTTACTGAGTGCCTCCTGCATGCCCAGAAATTTAGAAACGGAATCATAAGCTACTTTACACCTGCCTAAGAGAAGCTCATAATTCAAGAACATTAACAGTCCTTTATCAGTGGTCTGCAACTATGTTTCCATCTCAAACCCCCAGAGGGCTGGACACATCCCCATCAGGACCTGCGAGGCCTCTGGGGAATGTGTGTGGTTTGATTTCTTTTCTTTTTTTTTTTTTTAATTTATTTATTTGTCAGAGAGAGAGAGAGAGAGAGAGAGTGAGTGAGCACTGGCAGATGGAGGCAGAGGGAGAAGCGGGCTCCCCGCCGAGCAAGGAGCCCAATGTGGGACTTGATCCCAGGATGTTGGGATCATGACCTGAGCCGAAGGCAGCTGCCCAACCAACTGAGCCACCCAGGTGTCCCTGTGGTTTGATTTCTGTACCCCTCATCTCCATCCCAGACCAAGCCGGGGCATTCTGGCACATTCTCTACCCCAGGGTTGGGAGCCATTGTGTAAGCTCCAGAGGATGGATTCCATAACCAGCTTTCTTTGTTTCTTAGAAGGCTGAGGGCAAAGAGAGGGAAGAGGACCAGGAAGACCACATTGAGGTTGACTGAATCCTGGTCAATCCATGGTTGTCTTCTACCTGAGATATTTTTTTTCAGGTAAATAGAAAAGTATGGAAGAGAGAAAAAGCAATCATACGGAAATCTAAATGTAACAGATTTGGAGTCTAAGAACACCTCTTTTAGGGAGGAGGGAGTACTGTCATCATCCTAGAAGACACCCTCTGTGGACTTCGAACCATTTGAAAATGGGCATAACAGGTGGAATTATTTTACCCAGTTCTCCTGAGCTGCATGATCGGTCACATCCAGTTTTATTTCTACACATTCTTTTTAAATGTTTTATTTATTTATTTGAGACAGAGACAGTGAGAGAGAGCATGAGAGAGCAGAAGCTGGGAGCCTGATGCGGTACTCAATCCTGGTACTCCAGGATCATGACCTGAGCTGAAGGCAGTTGCCCAACCAACTGAGCCACCCAGGTACCCTACACATTTTTTAAGTTAAAAGAGTATTTTGGGGGCACCTGGGTGGCTCAGTGGGTTAAAGCCTCTGCCCTTGGCTTAGGTCATGATCTCAGGGTCCTGGGATTGAGCCCCACATTGGGCTCTCTGCTCAGCGGGGAGTCTGCTTCCCCCTCTCTCTCTGCCTGCCTCTCTGCCTACTTGTGATCTCTGTCAAATAAATCAAATCTTTAAAAAAAAAAAGAGTATTTTTGTGCACTTTGATTCTGTTACTAGTAATAATAGTAATACTCTATTGGCCGTAGAGGACGTCATTGACTGCTCTTTCTCTCCAGGTAATTACGAAAAACAGTGAAAGAGACAGCCCGAACATCTTTGAGCTTGCTGTGTGCATGCATTAAAACATGTACAAAGTCATACTCATGACTTAAAGGCTTGGTGCTTTATTTTGGCAGGAGCTGCTCTGTGACACCAAGCCTGGGCCTTTCTCTGTTCTGCTGTCATTGACTTGAGTTCACTTCTGTAGTTCCTGTTTCATCTGCTGGTAGCATCACTTGGCATCATCTAGAGGCTTAGAATAAATACACCCACGTAACCGAAATGACAGACGCTCGAAGGAACAGGGCTGTGACATGGTTCACTAGATTTGCTTTATGTGGATAATCAAGGGAAACATTTAAAATATCTGAGGATAATTAAGGGACGATGGGCCATGTCCTGAGAGAGTTTCAGAAGCTTCCAGGTCTGGTACTGCTAAAGCATTTTGCTCTGCTTCCTGGGTTGACTTCTGGGCCTGAGTCTGTAAAGCGGCTTCTCCAGGCAGAGACCAGCTTTCCCTGACCTTGTATCTTCAAACACTACATTCTTGTTCAAGGACTAGAGGGTAGAATTTTATCAGGAAAATTGCTCGGCCCCTAGGGCCCATGCTTTTCTGGAAAGATGGCTGAAATATGGTGCAGTAACTAGTAACTAATACTACAGAAATCAACCAGAAGGGCTCTTTGGGTCTGAGGAAGAGGGAGGGAGGGGAAGGGGGAAGCGGCGGCCAAAGGGCCTTTTGCATGCTTTTTTTCTTCTACGTGAAGTGTCTCCTACCTCTTCTCCTGTTAAACCTGCTCCTGGAGGGGCTTTTCCACCTTCCTGACTGGATCAGATCCTTCTGTTGGTCCCATCCCAGGGACCTCTCTTTCTGGTGATTATTCCATTTTCACACATTTGTGTCCCCCCCTTAAAACTCTTGGCTTCATGGGGCCAGGTCACATGGCTCATTGTTGTATTTTGGGCATCTACGGTGTCCTGTATGTTTTACTGAGTGCACTATGTCAGTCACCTGCTTTATTATTATATCGCAGGGGAAAGGGTGGGGCAAAAGATGTATTATAAGACAAGAGGAAGTGGGGAAAGACTAGAAGGCTTTGGATTAGAACGCTGCTAAGCTTGTAGGAAGTCAGCTGGGGCAGCGTAAGGTGAAAGATACTTCTTTGGGGGCTATTCATTTAATGCAGGTTTTTAAAAAAATTATTTTTATTTATTTTTTTAATTTTAAAAAAAAGATTGTATTTATTTAGTTGACACAGAGAGAGAGAGAGATCACAAGTAGGCAGAGAGGCAGAGAGAGAGGGGAAAGCAGGCTCCCCACTGAGCAGAGAGCCCAATGTGGGGCTCAATCCCAGGACCCTGAGATCATGACCTGAGCCGAAGGCAGAGGCTTAACCTACTCAGCCACCCAGGCGCCCCCCACCCCTTTTAAACTTAATGTTACTCTGTACCCATTTATCTATACTTTAGTTGGAAATGTACTTCATTATTCCAAAGACTATAGTAGATACTGATAGTCCCACCTCTGGAAGAATTTTTAGTTGGGCAGAGTATGTTTCCCAGCGTTCTTTGGAGATAAGTGCATGTGCCCAAAGGTTTAATCCCGCAATCCTGAATAGAAATAATGTGTCCAACTTCCAAGTCGTAGCCTTAAAAGGAGAGGGGCATGTCTTCTACCTCCTCTCTTCCCCGATGCCTCTGGCTGGAATGTGACCTTGGTTGGGAGCCATCCTTGGCCACATGAATGAGGCTGTACCCCTTGTACAGTCGTGGCCTGGGCCTGGCACCAAACAATGGACAGTTTCACTTGAACTGCTGATGTAAGAGAGACAAGTTTTCCTTTGGGACTAGTTACAGCAGCTGAATGGATACCCTCATTCTGACATCCAGCCCTGGGCAGTCAGAAAGAAAGGGAATGGAAGCATCATCCCTGAGTTAGTGGCCTGGTAAAAAAATGTGATCAGGTCACCTCATTTGTAGAATAAACCACAGTACTCTGGCTCTCATAGCAATTTCTGTTTGGTAAATGGGAACGGTTCAAGAAGTTCTCCTACCTTATCACCTTCTCACTCATTTCCTTACTTGGAGTAGAGGTGGGGACTGAAAGCTCTGGACTTGGCGCCAGACAACCTTGAGCCTGAAATTTCAGCCCTATCACTGACTGTCTAACTAGCTTCTCCATACCTATGTCATAAGGCTACTGTGAAGATGGAGTGAGATAAGGGGTACAGAACCCACCCAGAGGAAGCACTAAATAACAGTGTCTTACACTATTGTTTGTGTGTGTAGGACTTTTCCCCTAGTAACTGACAGAAACCTGACACAGGCTTTCAGATTTTGTGATCTCTCGGCAACTCCCTGGGCATTATTTGGCTTCACAGGTGAAGGGAGTCTGTCCAAAGGGAAGGAAAGGGCTGGCTGTGTGGATTCCTGCATTTTGGTCATGGTGACCATTTATTCTTATTGAAAATTAGTATTTTAACTTTATGGCTTTATAGCTCAGTTTTATGAACCTTGTCATTATAAACCTGACTCAGAGAGATGGTGCTTCCCTCGTTGTGATAAAATCTAGTTCCTGGGTGGGGATGATGGTCAGACCCCGATCAAGGTGAGTTCTTCACGGTAATGAATGTTCACTGTGAGGTCTCTTGAGATTGCCTAACAGTATTTCCCTGGACAAAATCCTAATTCGCTAGGCCAAGCCATCATCACTGTTGTTGTTGTTTTTTTTTTTTTAAATAATAAATAAAATACATGAATAAGCAGGAATGAACAAAATTTATTTTTTTTTTGTTTTAGATAATACTTAAATATTAAGAAAGCTAAAATTTAAAAATTCACAATATGTTGGCTAGGTTTTTCTATACATTATATTTACATAATGATTCTAATTTTACCCTTCCAAGAAGAGTTGCCCAGGAGGGAGGAAAGGCAACCTATGATAGTCTCTGGGGCTTGTACTGTCTTCTCAGGCCAAGTGTCCCCATGGCAAAGAATTGAAGAAGCAAGTGGCCCTCCCCACCCCTCTCCCCTGCTCCCTTTTGTTTTTCTTTGAAGCATTTCTGAATAACAAATGCACAATTAGATTTGGATATAAAAGTGTTTCACTGGAGAAGCCCTGGGACAGACAGGACGGGAATTGCCCCTCATCTGTAGGGACACTGTGATGGAAGTCAGAGTCACATACGAGAATCATCTGGGACATCTGAGCAAAAGCATAGCTAGCATCGGCTCCGTGAAATGAGGGAATTTGCTCAGTCTGTCGCATGGCATCTGGTCCGGAAAGCTAGCTTCTAAGCTCCCCTCACCAGGGTAGGGAGGACTCGCCCCCTCTGGGAAGTTGGCTGCAGGAAGGAAGTCTATCATCCTAGGGCACCAGCCTCCTCATGTAAAAAACAACTATGCTGAGAGTAAATTAGGTCAATAAGGTGAAAATGTTTACCATACTTGTGGGGTAAATGAATAGTCTATAGTTTAAAATTTACATACTATAAAACTGTGGCAAACTGTAGTCTTAAATAAACCAAAGGCAGTCCCGTGGGGATATTAAATTTGAGAGTAAGCCCCGGGGCTTCTAACTCCTGAGAGCCCGCAGTCTGCCTGTCCTTTATAAAGTTTTGTCCAGGTCACCTGGACGAGGCTCTGAAAGCACCTTTAACAACAACAACAAAAAGGCATTAAGAAATTAGGACTCGAGGATTTTAAACCCTAATGTTACAGGCAAGGCCTCATTTTTACGAAATATGAAACACTCTGTTTCTTCCACTTCTAACAGCTCCTTGAGAGACGCCACCACCACATCATGCTCCTGCAGCATTTCTGGGTAGCGGGACACCGCGCGCTCAATCCTGGCCGAGCGCCGCACGGGGGTGATGAGCTTCACGTCTTGTACTTCCGGCAAGCCGCTTATCCTGCGAGACAGAAGGAGCCGTTCAGACTCTCCCGAAGTGTTAAGTGTGGTTTGCCTTTGATATTGGCAGTGGGTGTTTGTTTATTCCATGAACCTTCAAAGAGTCGATAGGTTTTAAGGAAATGGGGCCTAACACCAAATGGGGTGGGACAAATGAATTCTAAGATTCTTTCTGGCTTTGACAGAAAATGATTCAAAAAACCTCTTTTAAGACGGTGGACCAAACCACAAACTGAAACTGGGCCAACTGGGCATCTTCCTTGTAAACTTTAATGTGTTCCAATAAAAGTAGCCCTGAGGATAGTTTGCAGAGAACTTTCACGTAGTGAATCTGTTCTACATCTCATAAACCCTCTAATGACATTAGCCTAAGAAAACTAGCAGGCTGGTCGGCTAAGAACTCTCATAATAAATTCCAGAGTCAGCAAGAGGTGGTTTTCAGACCCTCTGCTTGCCTTCGTCCTTCTGTGAGTCGGCTGTAATGGCAGGACTGAGAGGGGGGTTTAGGGCTGGAAGAGGCCCAGCTGTGCTTTCCAGAGACCTAAAATACAGAACTGTGTGGTCGTGCTGCTTTTGTTCGGAAGCCTTTTTTAAGATCATGGATAGAGACTGATGTTAACGTTTTAGGAAATGGCACCGATACCTGGACACAGTTCCTATGAATTCTGCCTTAAACTTTTACTTATTCAAACATCAAACACTTTCAATAAAAGGGGCAGCTTCTACCTAGCACGTATTCGACGGCACAGCCTGTTCTTATAGGGCTATTTGCCGTCCCTTCCCTCCTACAGCTGCAGAGTTTGCCTCTGCTTGGCATTCTGTGTCCCTGCCCCGGGGCCTGGGAGGAAAGGCGGGTGGGATCTGTAAGTGCAGCACCCAGTCCAGGAGGGAGGCGAAACCCATTCCAACCTGTCTCCACACTCCAGCACCACCTTCCTCACGGCGGGTCAGGTCTCCTCAGAGTGCTGTGAGGGTGATGGTGTGTGTGCACAGAAAGGGCACAGGTCTTCCTGTCAGTGGTTCCAACCCTCCGCTCACCCTCAGCTCCTTTCCTTAATGTCAAAGATGGGTTTGACATTAGACCACCTGTCCTCACATGACACAGGGGTCTCCCTAAACTGCTGGTACTCTGCGTCTGTAGAAGTGAAACTGAGAACAGGGCTTGAGTTAGACCTGCGGACACAAAGCCTACTTAGAGTTTGCTTACCTAGGGATCGGGGCGATCTGTAATTTGATACCAGGGTGATCATCCTGTACTGCCTTGGTTATTTGGGGTGTTGCTGTAACCTGTTCTCCCTCGTTCAGATAAGACTTTTCAGATTCCGTCTTGTCGGCCAGTTCTTCTGTTGCTGTTACATTCGTCTTAGCAACTGGAGAGTCAGAGGTAACGCCTGTGTATACAAGGTCAAGAAGGAAAAAGTAAGATTTAGCGACAGGTTTTAATACTGAAACTAAATGCAATAAAATAAAAAGTCAACAGACACAGTGATTTCCCAGTTTAAAAAAGAGTAACAGATTTGAAGTGAGACGTGTAGTTTTTCCCACCCAGCCCTCTAACAATGCTCTGCTGTACAAGGCCATCCTTCTAACCAGCCCTCCAGACACCCTTTGGCACTCCTTGTACCTTTAGATGGATCCTTGATAGTTTTTCCACATTCTGAACACATTCCCACCTCTTATTAGAGGTTCCCTTAGGGACTAATCATTGTTTTTTTTTTAACCTTATACCATACCTTGGGTCAATTTCTTTGACTCACTAAGGTTAACTCAGTTGACCTTCCAATCCCTTCCTACCCAGAGATGACTACATGATTATTACCTTGGGCAATAAGTGAAAAAAAAGTCTTGTTTGAACACAATATACATGATAGCTCAGTCACAACAACCAAAAGGAAGGGAAGAAAATTGGATTGAGATAGGCAGCTATTGTGGCTGGAGGCTAAGACCCTAAAAGAGGTTGGGGGGCCAAGAAGTGGGAAAGGTACGGATTCCTGTCTTTTTTCTTACCCCTTTGAAAAACAATGCCATGAATTATAAACAAATATCTGAATAGTGCCATCATTCCCAGTATAAGAGCACCATTGGGCATATCTCCTCTGTGACCTTATTCCCCAAAGTAATAGGTTAGTTAGCTATCATTCCACATGACTTGGTTGTTCCCCAAAGCTCAATCTGTCTTAAAGTTCCCCAAAGTTCAATCTGTCTTAAAGGAGGAACATTTGTCAGAGAAAAATAATCTGTTTTCTTTTCTCAGTGGAGCTTGTTTTTTCTTTCCATTCATATGACAAATATAAGCAATTAGAGTGGGCCACTCCCTGTATTTGGCCCAGTAATTTTCAGAGAAGAGTTTTCTAAAGGTTCTAACCAATGATAGCAATGGTTAGCTAAATGAAAATGTTCCTGCACCAGCTGATTTTTTAAAAAAAGATTTTATTTATTTATTTTTTAAGATTTTATTTATTTATTTGACAGAGAGAACACAAGGAGACAAAGCAGCAAGCAGAGGGAGAGGGAGAAGCAGGCTCTCTGCTGAGCTGGGAGTCCGATGTGGGGCTCTATCCCAGGACCCTGGGATCATGACCTGAGCTGAAGGCAGCCGCTTAACTGACTGAGCCACCCAGGTGCCCCTAGATTTTATTTATTTATTTGAGAAAGAGAGAGAGAGGGACAGAGAGAGAGACAGAGAGAGAAAGAGAACAGAAGCAGGGGGGAAGCAGTCTCCCCGACAGGGAGCCTGAAGCAGGGCTTGATCCCAGGACCCTGGGATCATACCTGAGCCAAATGCAGACGCTTAACGGACTGAGCCACCCAGGTGCCTCTATTTTTAAAGGCTATAATGTGAATTTGGTTGTGTGAGTACAGGTGGATTGTTATGACACAGAGGCATCTCTCCCTTCTGCCTCAGTCTCGTTTGAGAAAGAGCCACTTGTCTTCTCCCACCTAGCACTCTAGGGAATCAAGATACCCTACCATAGGCTGCTCTTGTGAAAACAACCTATGTTTGGTGTTGAGCAGTATATTTACTTGTAATAATAGAAATAATTCAGCTGATGATGATGGCTGAAAAAGCTAGGCTATGGAAACCAAGAAGTGAGAGGGATTTCAGGGGACTTATAATTCTTTTCTTTTTTCCCTTATGTGTTCCTCGATGGCTTTTACTTGAGTAGAGGGAGTGAAATTTAAAACATTTAAAAAAAAAAAGATCTTATTTATTTATTTGACAGAGAGAGATCACAAGTAGGCAGAGAGGCAGGCAGAGAGAGAGGAGGAAGCAGGCTCCCTGCCCAGCAGGGAGCCCGATGCCGGACTCGATCCCAGGACCCTGAGATCATGACCCAAGCTGGAGGCAGAGGCTTAACCCGCTGAGTCACCCAGGTGCCCCTAAAGGGAGTGAAATTTAAATACAAAAATAGCAGTACCTTCTGTGGTTCTGTTCGGGTCTTGCAAAATATTAAGAACAACTTCCCGTAACTCTTGTATTGGCTGGAGGAAAGAAAGTACATAAACAGTATTAAAAACATTCATGGAGGAAATGATCTAAGGAACTTTGCTTAACATCAAATGAACTTCTTTTTTTTAAGAAAAATGTTTTCTTTTAAAAAATCTCTTATCTGACTACAAATAACATCTAAAAAGTTTCAGATTTATAGCTTTATGTAAAAAATGAAGGAACAAAGAAAATGTTGGTTAAATGCTGGCATGCTTTAATGAAGAAATGTGCTTATGGAAAGCTGTCTGTAGTGACATTTCTTTAAATCAGTTAATTTTCTTATTGACTTACATGATCCCACTGAAGATGTATCCTCACATAAAGATTCTGGCCCAAAGATGTAAAGTTTGTTATATAAAAATGCAGCATACGTTTTTAGTGTTGTCTTTACTGGATTTTTGTTTTTTTTTTTAATAAAAGTCATATACCTCATTATAGAAAAACTGAACAATAGTGAAACTTAAAAAGAGAAATCACCCATAATCCAATCATCCAGATACAGCCTTTATTTATTTTTTAAAAAGATTTTATTTATTTATTTGACACAGAGAGACACAGAGAGAGAAGAACAGAATCAGGGGGAGAGGGAGAGGGAGAAGCAGGCTTCCCGCTGAGCAGGGAGCCCGATGCGGGGCTCAATCCCAGGACCCTGGGATCATGACCTGAGCTGAAGGCAGATGCTTAACGACTGAGACCCCCAGGCACTCCCCCGAATAGAGCCTTTAGCTAGCATTTTGGATAATTTCCCCTAGTCTTTCCTTTCTTTCTTCTTTTGTTTAGTAACATAAAAACATAACATTGGACATAACATATAAAATACAATATTAAACATAACATAAAAAAAAACATTAGAAAAAAGCCATTATTATTAAAAGTACTTTCCTGGTAAATATTAAAAAGTACTTTTCAGGGGTATCTGGGTGGCTCAGTGGGTTAAGCCTTCGGCTCAGGTCATGATCTCAGGGTCCTGGGATCGAGCCCCGCATTGGGCTCTCTGCTCAGCGGGGAGCCTGTTTCCCCTCTCTCTTTCTCTGCCTGCCTCTCTGCCTATTTGTGATTGCTCTCTCTCTGTCAAAAAAATAAAAAAATCTTTAAAAAAAAGTACTTTTCTGGTAAAATTATCTGAGATAGACTTCCTTTTTCAAAGTATCTAAACCATTCCATGAAGTAGAACACCGTAAGTGAACTGTAATATTTCATAGGAATATTATATTTGGAGCTTGGCCTTTCTCTCTCTCTCTCTTTTTTAAAGATTTCATTCATTTATTTGTCACAGAGAGAGAGCACAAGCAGGGAGAGCAGCCAGCAGATGGAGAAGCAGACTCCTGGCTAAGCAGGGAGCCTGATGTGGGACTTGATCCCAGGGCCCTGGCATCATGACCTGAGCTGAAGGCAGACATTTAACCGACTGAGCCACCCAGGTGTCTCTCTCTCTCTTTTTTAAAAATATTTCACTAATTTATTTATTTTTCAGAGAGAGAGAGAGAGGGCACAAGCAGGGAGAGCAGCAGGCAGAGGGAGAAGCAGACTCCTGAAGGAGCTTGGTCTTTCTGATCTGGGATTCTCTATCAAATAAATGATAGATGTAAACTGAAAACAGAACATAAAAGCAAAGCTGTTCATACATTTTCACAAAGTCTAATGTACTTCAAGCTTAAGGGAATGGGAATAAATGCACAGAATACATTGCGAAAAGTCTGAATTACATAAAACATTTATCAAACATATTTTACATTTTTACAGGCTTCTAGTTAAAGACGATGGATTGAATATACATTTATTTCTAATCCCTACGGAAACTCTAGTGAAATGATAATGGGATTAAAGGGGGCAATAACTACAAAGAATAGAGGAAATAGCAACAAGATTTGGAAGCTAGAATGTAGAAGGAAGAGATAACCAACTTAACTGACAGGAAGGAGCTGAATCCTAAGCTGGCAATGTGGCTGAGAAACAACATGATTCAACCCCAGGGCCTTTCTGAAAGGCTCAAGAACGAATGGTGGGGTCAAAATCAGGAGGATTCTTAAGCATCTGTTCAGCAGTCAGAACTCTAAGTCTTTTTTTTTTTAAACATGTTATTAATTGAGAGAGAGACAGAGAGAGCACAAGGCTGTGAAAGAGCTAGAGGCAGAGGGAGAGGGAGAAGCAGACTTCTGCTGAGTGGGAAGCTCAACGCCAGGCAAAATCCCAGGGTCCTGAGATCGTGACCCAAGCCAAAGTCAGAAGCTTAACGGACTGAGCCACCCAGGTGCCCCTCCAAGTCTTTATCCTAACAGAAAACTGAAGATGTATTTTCCAAGTCTCTGGGGAATATCAAGCACTATTGAAGGTGGGGATGCCCACCGAAAAAAAGGGATAAAGGAAAGTTTCCATGCTGAAGGTTGAGATTCCCAGCTCTCTTCTCCCCCACAACACTGGTAATGTGGTTTCCAGATCCTTCTTTAGAGAATATGGGCAATTTTAGAGGAAAGATCTAGATATTGAAGGTTCTTCAACCAGTTGGATCAGCCAGATCACCCTGTGGTAAAACCTCATCTGTGTGTCCAGAGCTTTTTCAATCCACCTCTTTGTATACAGCCCAGTTTTTACTGGCATCTCAGTAAAGCTTTTAATGAACAATAGAAAAGAAAAGAAAAGAAAAGAAAAAAGAAAAGAAAAGAAAAGAAAAGAAAAGAAAAGAAAAAAGAAAACCACCACCACCAATAGCAATAACACAAAACAGAGTGAGAAGAAAACCATTGGAGAGGCGCCTGGGTGGCTCAGTGGGTTAAGTGTCGGACTTGGGGTTTCAGCTCAGGTTGGTCATGATCTCGTAGGTCATGGGAGTAAGCCCTGAGTGAGGCTCCGTGCTCAGTGGGAGGTCTGTTGAAGATTCTCTCCCTCTGCCCCTCCCGCCATGCACACACACCTGCTCTCTCTTTCAAATAAAAATAACGAAATTAAAAAAAAATAAAACCACCCCCAACAACAACACAAAAAACAGAGAGAGAAGAAAAGCACTGGAGAAGAAAAACAGGCAATGCTGATAGAAATGGGAATGTGAGGGTAATGGTGAAAGGTCCCAGAATAATAGGCAAAGATAGTGGGAAAGAGCAACCAGTAGAGACTGGAACTTGTCAGAAAGTTCTGGGAGAAGGGTCTTTAGGAAAAAGAAATCGATACGCTATCTGATGTTTTAAAAGTATTGAGAAATTTTGGACCTCATCAAGCTAAAAAGCTCCTGCACAACAAAGGAAACAATCAACAAAACTAAAAGGCAACCAATGGAACGGGAGAAGATATTTGCAAATGACATATCTGATAAAGGGTTAGTCTCCAGAATCTATAAAGAACTCATCATGGGGCGCCTGGGTGGCTCAGTGGGTTAAAGTCTTTGTCTTCGGCTCAGGTCATGATCCCAGGGTTCTGGGATCCAGCCCCAAATCGGGCTCTTTGCTCCGCTAGGAGCCTGCTTCCTCCCCTCTCTCTCTCTGCCTGCCTCTCTGCCTGCTTGTGATCTCTGTCACATAAATAAATAAAATCTTAAAAAAAAAAAAAAGAACTCATCAAAATCAATACCCCCAAAATAAATCATCCAATTAAGAAATGGGCAGAAGATATGAACGGACAGACATTTCTCCAAAGAAGACATATAAATGGCTAAGAGGCACATGAAAAAATACTCAGCATTACTTGGCATCAGGGAAATACAAACCAAAACCACAAGGAGATATCACTGCCCACCTGTAAAAATAGCTAAAATTAACAACTGAGGAAACAATAGTTGTTGGTGAAGATGTAGAGAAAGGGGAACACTTTTGCATTATTGGTGGGAATGCAAGTGGTAAAGCATTTGCATTTACTCTGGGAAATAGTATGGAGAGTCCTCAAAAAGTTAAAAATAGAACTACCCTAAGACCCAGCAATTATACTACTGGGTATTTATCCAAAGGATACAAAAATCTGGATTCGAAGGGGCACATGGACCTCAATGTTTATAGTAGCCCTATCTGCAATAGCCAAATTATGGAAAGAACCCGAACGTCCATCAACTTATGAATGGATAAAGAAAATGTGGTATATATATACACAATGGACTATTACTCAACCATCAAAAAGAATGAAGTCTTGCCATTTGAAACAGTGTGGATGGAACTAGAGTGTATTATGCTAAGTGAAATAAGTCAGAGAAAGACAAATATCAATGATTTTATTCATATGTAGGATTTAAGAAACTAAACAGATGAACATAGGGGATGAGAAGGAAAAATAAAATAAGATAAAAACAGAGAGGGAGACAAACCATAAGTGACTCTTAACTATAGAGAATAAACTGAGGGCTGCTGGAGGGGTGGTGGGTGGAGGGATGGGTTAAATGGGTGATGGGCATTAAAGAGGGCACTTGTGGTGAGCACTTTGTGTTACGTGTAAGTGATGAATCACTAAATTCTACTGCTGAAACCAATACTACACTATACGTTAACTAACTTGAATGAAAAAGAAAAAAAAGAAATATTGAGAAATTTAGATAGAGAAAAGTTTGGAATCAATTATATACTAATAAATACTCAGAAAACTAAGCAAAGGGAAAACAAGACAATAATTAACTTCAGGAAAATTAGAAGATCATGCTTGAAAGGTAAAATAACCTTAGTATGTATTACATGGCTTAATGTATTCATGTATTTCTTACATATTCATAACAATATGAACACAGGATTATTCATAACAACAGTGACCAGGATTTCCATATGACTCTAATGGAAATATGGAGGATGGCAAAATTTGCAGGGCGTGTGTCAGAAAGAGGGTTAAATCCTTATCCTGCATAGTTGGAAATCTACAAATCATGTCTAAAACTGAAAAATCAAGAAATAGCAATATAAGCACACTATCTGAAACTATCCAGGTAAATATGAAAATAATCAGTTTGCTCTGGGAAGTGGGAAATGGGAGGCCTTATGGAAGGAAACTTACTGGACAGTTTAAACTATGTGCATCTACAACTCTGATTTTGAACAATAGGAAGAGGTATGGTAGAATAGAAAATGACATGGGAAGTGACATTTAGGTGAAAAGAGTTATGAAACTTGGATGCAGTCTTTGTTAAAAAAAGTCATATGGGGGCGCCTGGGTGGCTCAGTGGGTTGAGCCTCTGCCTTCGGCTCAGGTCATGATCTCAGGGTCCTGGAAGCAGGGAGCCTCCTTCCCCCTCTCTCTCTGCCTGCCTCTCTGCCTACTTGTGATCTCTCTCTGTGTCAAATAAAATCTTTAAAAAAAAAAAAAAAAGTCATATGGAGACAGTGGTTTCACTAAGTTTTAGAATTAAATTTTTTTTCATGTACTGGCTCTGAATTATTGCTGTGTGAATACCGATATGTTAGGCTTAATGTATCTTCAGTTTTTTTATGATGAGGTATAATTTTGTAAGTACTGCATATTGATGTAACTTTCCATGCTATTACTTTCTACAAGTGCGTATTTCTACGATGAGTGTAAAGTGAGACACATTCATTTAATAAGAACAGTGATTCTATTAGTTTACATGAAACACTATTTCTACTGTATAAAATAGTTTTTTTTATTAATTTCTTTTCAGCATAACAGAATTCATTGTTTATGCACCACACCCAGTGCTCCATGCCATACGTGCCCTCTATAATACCCACCACCTGGCTCCCCCAACCTCCCACCCCCCGCCCCTTCAAAACCCTCAGATTGTTTTTCAGAGTCCATAGTCTCTCATGGTTCACCTCCCCTTCCAATTTCCCTCATCTCCCTTCTCCTCTCCATCTCCCTATGTCCTCCTTGTTATTTGTTATGCTCCACAAATAAGTGAAACCATATGATAATTGACTCTCTCTGCTTGACTTATTTCACTCAGCATAATCTCTTCCAGTCCCGTCCATGTTGATACAAAAGTTGGGTATTCATCCTTTCTGATGGAGGCATAATACTCCATAGTGTATATGGACCACATCTTCCTTAAAAATATTTATTTATTGGGACGCCTGGGTGGCTCAGTTGGTTGGACGACTGCTTTCAGCTCAGGTCATGATCTCGGAGTCCCGGGATCGAGTCCCGCATCGGGCTCCTGGCTCCACGGGGAGTCTGCTTCTCCCTCTGACCTTCTCCTCGCTCATGCTCTCTCTCACTGCCTCTCTTTCAAATAAATAAATAAAATCTTTAAAAAAAAATTTATTTATTCATTTGAGAGAGAGAGAGAGAGAAAGAGAGAGTAAGAGAGAGCATGTGAGCAGTAGGGAGAGGCAGAGGGAGAGAGAGAATCTCAAGCAGACTCTCTGCTGAGTGGTGAATAGGGAGCCCAGTCACATGATCCATGAGATCATGACTTGAATTGGAATCACGAGTTGGACGCTTAACTGACAGAGCCACCCAGGTGCCCCTCTAGCAAATAAATTTTTAATTAAATGTACATAAAGGACTTGTGCTTCATAATCTATGTATACTTGATGAAGTAAATTAGAAGTTTACAATTACATTGTATGACTGCCATACTGCAAACAACAGACAACTAACATGAGAGAATTTTCCGGAAGTTACCAACCCAAGAGAGATACTCACTGTTGCCCCATTTCTAATGGCCTCTTCATACAGCCCAATAACATCAAAGGGACCTTTACTTGCCAACAACTTCGCTTTACAGATCCAGAATTTAGCAAATTTTTCGACCTCAGGAATACTGGACAATATGGTAAATACTGCATTAGAAGGTACACCCTGTAAAAAAAAAAATACCCAGAGGTAATTATTACCATTTTGCTGTTATTCTCACATCTAATGTTCATCAGAGCAGTTATGCAGAAATCAGTCTGATCACTTTTGCTTAATTTCTAAAAAAATTCAAATTTACTGAGGTACAGTTTACATATAATAAAATGCATCCATTTAAACAGTGTATTTCAATAAGTTTTGACACTGGTCATTCAACTTTAAGAGTTACACGACACCAAATTGTAAAATGTTTTTCACAGCTGAAGGTAAGGAATATGTTTACATTTTTATGCAAAACCAAACCCCAAACCAAACCAAACCAAGCCCTACAGGAATCAACATTCATATATTTCTTACATATTCATAATAATGTGAACACTGAATAGTGAATAGAATTTCCATGTTTCTAGCAGAAGTATGAAGGATGGCACAGGTAAGCAAGGGTCATGGGGTGTGTATATTTGTGTGTGTTGAAGATCCATGCAGCATATATAAAAAGGACTAATTCTCACAAAAAGTAACTTTAAAATATGCTCACTAATTTGGTCCCCTTATGGCTTGTATCCAGAGCAGAGAGTGACATGGACCAGGAGGAATATGGGGAGTTACCATGACCAGAAACCCAGATACTGGCACACTCAGCTAAGCAGTGCCTCCTACTCCTCCTGAGAGGGGGAAGCCCCAAAGGTAAGCTCGCAGTCAAGAATCCTCAATGTCTGAGAAAACCAACACTGCGTGAAAGAGGCATAAATCTCAACAGAATAGAAGAAAAAATCAATGAGCTGAAAATTTGGCTGTGAGATTCTCCCAGAATTCAGTGTGACAGAACAGAGAAATGAAGGGTATGAAAGAGAAGTTGAGAGTTCTGGAGGGAATATCTATTAATCAGGAATTCCAACACTCAACTAAGAGATGGAACATTCACCATGACTGATCAGACATGCATTTCAACAAATTCTATCAAGCAGAACACATAACAAGCTACATTTACAATGTAGTATAATTAGAAACTGGAAAAAAAATCGTCAGGAAAAACAAAACAAAACAGAACTCTATCTGGAAGTTAAAAGATATTCTTCTAAGATAACTTTCAGGTTAAAGAACTCAAAATGGATATCTCAAACTATTTAGAGATGAACAATAATGAGCATGCTTGTCAATTATTAACCTATGGCCTCGTAGCTCCAAACCCACCTTTTATCCTCTGTTTTGGGGCACTGGGGCTGGAATTCTGTAAATCACCCACTGTTTTCACAGCACAGAGTTCTGCCAGTATGGGGAAATAGAGGGAGACTGTGGGCATGGAGAAGAGAGGGATTTCCTCTTTCGCCACCCCAGCAAAGGGCCTTCACTCTGGCAGCAACAGTAGATTCTAGCCTCTACCTTTTTTCCTGGTGCTTACAGATCCTGCCTCACTGTGCTCTCTCAGAGGCAAAGCATCCAGTGGGTAGCATCCTTTCCTCAAGATCTGAGTCCCAGCCCTGCTGGGCCCCTCCACCAGTTTTTGGTACCAGCATCTTCTAGGTAGTATGGCCTCCTTAGAGTTGGAGTTTATTTCTCCTAGCTTCTAGATTCTAATACCCTCAACCTCTCTTCATTCCCCTTAGCCCAGTGGGTGATAGCTGCTTTCTGAAGTTAGCATCTCTGTTACCTCAGGTTCCCTTTTGCTGTCAGCCCTGTGTGTAGTACCCACATTTCCTCTGATGGTCCCTGTACCATTTTTGTGCACTGAGGCTTACAAGGCTCTTTCATGTCCAACAGTCAGCATCTGCTCCTCTTTGTATGTACCAGAGAGTCATGGTGCTTTGGAATTTTTATCTCCCCAGGGGCAGCCATTAATCAATGACCATGGAGGTATTAATACTATAGGTTCCTTGCCCTGATCAGGATGATTCTGAGAGCTCTGACCCAGTCTCCAGAGCTCCCCTGTGGGATTGTGCCACAGTTATATTCCATGGATTTTGTTTGATACCACATCCTTCTTGTTCCCCTTCCCTTCTGGGCCCACATCCCCAATCCTCTCTGTTTTCCCTGGAACCCTCTTCCTAATAAATGACTTTCACACAAATTCTCCTCTTAGGATTTGCTTCTAGGGAACTTACATAAGACATTGTGAAACACCCTTTACATTACATTCATACTATTAGAATACCTGGTGCAGTTTCTGTTTTTTCTGAGTTGGCTGACTAATACAGAACCTTACCTAATCAAACATAAAGGATATGACCAAAGCTAAATTCAGAGGCAAATTTATAGTGTTAAAATTTATTTTTAAGAAAATAAGATTGACATAAATGATTTAAGCTTTCAACTAAAAAGGCTAATTAAAAACAATAAACATAAAAACAGATTCAGACATTGATGCAAGAGAAAAAAAATCAATAAAACCCCAGAGATGGCCATTTAAAAAGATTGATAGAGAAATCTTTAAATAAAAGGCACAGAATCACTAAAATTAGCTCAGGAAATACAAAACCCCAATAGACCAATGGTCACAGAAAAAATTGAAAAGATATACCCAAAACTATGCTCCATAGTCTAGATGACTTTATGAGCAAGTTCTTATCAAAGCTTCAGAGAAAAAAATAATTCTCATGTTGTATAAACTATTTTCAGAGTACAAGGGAAGAGGAAAATGCCCAACTTAACTATCAAGGCCAGCATAATGCTAATATTAGGGAAACACAAGTAAAGACAACAAAAGAGCATATATAAAAATCTGAAATAAAATAATTGCAACTCACAAAACTATATACTTCATTTTTCTATGTGCCTACGTGGTATGTACATGCATAAAAGCTGTCTGGATGGATAATTGGCAATAGTGGTCAGTCAGGTCTAGGGAGAAGCCTGGGATGCATAATTGGTGTGTGTGCATGCATGCACAGATGTGCTTGGTGGGGAGGTCTAGTCATTTTCTTTTGAAATGTTTTTAATTTTATTTATATTATTATTATTGTTACTATTTTTAGAGGGGGGGGCACAGGGAGCCAGAGAATTTTAAGCAGGCTCTATGCGCAGGCATAGTGCAAAGCCAGGCATGGGGCTCAGTCTCATGACCCTGAGATCATGACCTGAGCTGAAATTGAGAGTCCTGATGGTTAACCAACTGAGCCATCCAATTGTCCCTGAAATGTTTTTAATAATAAGAATGTATTCATGGGGGTGCCTGGTGGCTCAGTCCATTAAGCGTCTGCCTTCAGCTCAGGTCATGATCCTAGGTTTCTGGGATTGGGTCCCACATTGGGTTCCCTGGCCAGTGGGGAGTCTGCTTCTCCTTCTCCTTCTGTAGCTCCTTCTGCTTTTCTCTCTGTGTCAAATAAAAAATTAAATCTAAAACAAAAATTGTTAAAGAGTGTATTCATGCATTTTCTTTAATACAATGAAAATAAAAGAAAGAGCAACAACAAAAAAAGAACTGAACTTTAGTTCTATCAAGGGGAAATAATTAATGTTTAACTGAATTTTGTGAAAAAATTGCCTGGAATAGACCTACATTGAAGGTTTTCTTTTTCTGTTGCTGTCCAATGCCATCAGCCAAAGGACAGAATTTGGTTTGCTTCAGGCAAGGACCTTAGTATAGATGTCTACCCAATTGTTTTTTATTAATATATTTTTCCTTCAAGGCATCTTTTAGGGATCATACCCTTTGCTTACTAACTCCTTTATCTTTATCTGCAGAATCCAAGATACAATTTAGCTGCCAAGTATAGCTACCCAAAGTCATCAGGATAACCAAATTTTATACATGACCTTGCCTTTGACTTCAGCTTCATATCACTCCTTGACCTTGATGCCTACAGAAGGCAAAATTCCTTCTGGATCCCTTGAGAGGCAGACTGCTTGGGTTAGTTTTCCAACTTCTTTGTGCCTCAGTTTCATTTGTAAAGTGGGCATGGTAATAGTTGTTATTGATAATTGTACGAGATTATGTAAGTAAAGTGTTAGAACAGTGCCTGGCATATAAGAGCCTTTATTTAAGTGCATGCCATCATTATTATTGCTATTCTATATTTAAAAAAGCAGATGAATTTCTGCCAAGACCAAGGTTATCTCTCTTACACTATATTTAAGAAAAATATTTAAAAACTGTAAAGTTCAGGGCGCCTGGGTGGCTCAGTGGGTTAGGCCTCAGCATTTGGCTCAGGTCGTGGTCTCGGGGTCCTGGGATTGAGGCCCGCATCGGGCCTTCTGCTCAGTGGGGAGCCTGCTTCCCTGCCTACTTGTGATCTCTCTCTCAAATAAATAAATAAAATCTTAAAAAAAAAAAAAAAGAAAACTTAAAAAAAAAACCCAAAACTGTAAAGTTCTAGGCCAAAGCTTTGGGAACTTATCCTCCTTACTCACCTCCTCAATGAGTTGCAGACATTGTGTTAGAGTGCTGTTAATTTTGTTGGACAGTTCAAGTTGTGCTTTCTTTTCTTCTTCTTCTTCTTCCATACTCTTCCAGAATGAAATATTCATTTCCTCTATTATTTTTCTTTTTGTTTTAAGTTCCATAGGAGGCCGCTTATAGATTTTCCCCTTAGATTTCTGCCATTCTTCCAGTTGTTTCCTGTTATAAAATTAAGAGTCAGGGGATGGGAAAATGCTTTAGGTTTCTTTTTGTATGTAGTCACACTTTCAAAGTATAAGATATGCATAGATTGAGTACCACTAAATACCTTCAACTACACACAAAGTCAGGAGAATGGAGTTAAAAACAATGTACAAATGGGTAATCACCACAGTGGTTGCCCCTATCCTTTGGAAGGCAGATTGCAGAGGGATTACTAGGATCTCACTCTTCAAATTCCTTGACTTCATGATTATTCTTCATTATTTTTCTCTAAAAATTTTTATTTCACCTGTATATTACTTCTGGCACTTGCTTTCCTAAAACATCCTTCCACCTCTGAGATCACAAACTCAGCACTCCATTTCTCTTACCATAAACTCTCTATCTGCCACTCAACCAGACCCACCAAACCTGCATTCTGCCCTTAATAGGGTCTTGGCCAGAGTCACCCACTTTTCCTGGTTCATTAGCCCTCTCCTGGCCATACATGACCACCTTTTTCTTCCTAAACAAGATCAATAACTTCAGGAATCATAAGTAGCTAGTCTCTGATGTTGGCCAAATGTTAATCCTCACTCTCCTCTACCCGCTCCTGCTTCTAAGCAGTCAACAGATAACTGTTGGAAGAGGTACCAAGACCCATAGACTCAAGCATGTGAATGTAGGCTTTTCAGCTTCTTTAAATTACTACATGTTTATAACTCACGGATGTACATTTCAAGACAGATTTTCCTCTAGAGCCCCAAACTTTATAAAACCCACGCCTAGTTGGTGTTTTTTAATTTGATGTTTGACAGTCACTTCAAATTTAATGCTGTCTAAAATAAAGATCTTGATGTTCATCTCCAAACCTGTTCCCAAATAGCCTATGTTAGCAAATAGTACCCCAATCTACCCAGTTTCTGGGACCTAGAACGAGGGGTTGTCTTTACATAGTTCTTTCTTTCCCTCACATCTGACACAACATTGTACAGCCAGTAGGCTTCTATCTCTACTACCATGACCCGAGTCTATCACTGTCGCCTTCCTCCTGAAATGCTGTAGCAACTTCCTTCCTAACTCATGTCCTTGCTTCCACTCTCACCCTCAACAAATTCATCATGTGCCCAGTAGCCAGAGTAGTTTTTAAAGTGTAGAGCAGACCATGTCACTGCTCATACCCCTTTCCCTCTTACTCTATCCCCACCAGGAGCTTTGATATTCCTTCAGTTACTTGACCCACCCTCATTCCTGTCTCAGGGTCTTGAATTATCATCTTCATTCAGTCCTCTGCTCAAATGACACCTCTTAGAAGAGATAATTATGTGTATTATTTAATTTCATCAATGTGTTGATTTTCTGTCTTCTCCACTAGGATGCAAGTTCTGTGAAGGCAGACACCTTGGATGTCCCAGTGCCTAGCTCAGTGTCTAGAACCCACAAGAGTTCAGTAACATACAGCAAAATTCACCTTTTTTTGGAAGTGTATGGTTCTGTGAGGTTTGACAAATGCACAAAGTCATGTCACCCCAACTACAATATAATCCCTTCAAAAATTCCTTCATGCTTCTTGGTAGTCAACCCTTCTCCTCATCCTCAGCTGCTGGTGATCACCGATCTGTTTTCTGACCTTATGGTTTTGCTCCTTCCAGAATATCAATAACTAATTAACCCCCGTTTCTCTCCTTGACTCCAGAGCACAATCCATAGTGCTTATTTCAGCCCCAAGTGCCCCAACTCCTTCACCTTCATGGTAACCACCTGCTTAATGACAGAAGCTGAGATGTCTGGCATGTGTTTTCTCTATGTTCCTGGCATTCTTCCTCTCTCAGACTCCCTTCCAATCATAAATGAAGGGAAAACTTACCTTTTTCTAAGCCAACTTATTCCCAGGACCTCAGTGCTGTGATTTTATTATTCTAGTACTTTCCACATAGACACTAGAAAAAAAGCTCCATGAAGGTAGAGTGTGACTGTGTGCTCTTACCACTGTATCTCCCAGGAGCCCAGCACTCTGTAGGTGCTGAAGGAACACTCAAGCAATGAGTGAGTGGTCTGTCCCTCTCCAGACTCTTCTTGTGTAATCAAACACAGACCGCACTCTACACACTGTCTTAAAGACCCAACATCTGTTATTTGGTCTAGACTGTGGGCTCCAGGGGGAGGGACTCTGATTTCCTCATTCACCAGCTTGGAGTCTTTATACTCAGTTTTCTTTTTGCTCAGAAGGCTCATCCTTCTTTTTGTCACTATCCTTTTCCTAGACCACATGTCACTGTTGAAAGTACCTCCTTAATCTTTCTATCTAAAGAAGTCAGCTCAGAAAAAAAAAAAAAAAAAAAAAAGAAGTCGGCTCAGCCTTTCTCTCTCAATCACATCACCCTAAATTAAGCTGTTTGTTTTCTGTTTCTTTGGGAGGGCAGGGAACTTGTTGGTGGTGTTCAGGGCTATAATCAGAGAATAAATCCTGCCCTCTCTTCAACCTGTTATACCTTCTATACCTTCTACCTACCATCTAATTTTACATGTTCCTTTAGCCCTTGTCAGGAATCTCCTTATTTTCTAGCCCACCCAAGTGTATAAAGGTGCTTCTCCTGGGAGGTTCACCACGCTGTGACTCTATCTAGTCCAATGCAGACAGTGTGAAGACTTTTGGCTTGGTTTCCAGCTACATGTATGTTAATGTGAACCTCCAGCACCCTGAGATCCCCATTTCTACTGTCTGAACTCTGGGTGTGAACTCGCTGCTCCTCTTTGTCTTAGCTTACTTTTCAAAACTTGGCCTGCTCACACTCATGGAAGTTTCCTGTTCTTTCTTCCCTGATAACACTCCTGGATGTAACCACTGATCTGCTTAACAAGGGACTACCAACTCTCCACTTCCTAGCTATATAAAACCACTACTCTGGCTCTTCTCACCCTGCCCTCTTTTACTGTTGTTCAGTTCCTGCAAGGTACTTCTTGAACGAGTAGTCTGTTTCTACAACCCCTATATCTTAATCAAACATTCTGTTTCAATTTTGTTTTAAAAAATAATTTCAAGCATACAGAAAATTACAGGGAATAATTTATAACACACATATGTCCCACCTAGCTCTATCAAGTCAATATTTGTTATATTTGCTTCCAATCTTCTTTCTTTCAGGGTTGTAGCTAAAAATTACTCAGAAGCCCTTATTTATGGCCTGAATATTCCTGATGGTCAATTGCCTAATCTTAAATTGCAAAATTATGGAATTAAGCAAAGTACCTTCGATCCTCTGCTGTGATCTTCTTCTTAATATTTGGATTAGTCTGGGTTTCATTTGGGACTCTTCCTCCACTTATGGTTTTGTTACCAGCTTGAGTTTTGGAAGCTGTTTTATTGAGAAATTGGTTCTGGGGAAGAGTCTTTTTCAACCTGGAGTCCAGAGTCTGTGCTTTTTGTTGATAGCTGTTGCTGCATTTATTCCCATTGGCTCCATTTGCTGTTATGTTAGGGGTACTTGGGATGACCGAATTAAAACTGCCAACTGCCAAATTAGGCCTTTGGCTTATGGCTCTTGAATTTTGCAGTGCACATGACGTCTGAGTTCTAAAACAAGGTCGGGTGGATTTCTGATCTTGCTTAATGTTTGGATGTCTGTTATTAAAGCCTCCCTGAAGCATATTAGGGCATTTCCAGGATTTGGTTTGTTTTATTTTCTGTTCAGTAACAATGTGTGATTTAAACTTAGTTTCATTTGGTCTTTCATATTTATCCCTATTAACCTTTATATCCTTTATGTCCTTGACCACAGGTTTCTTTGGTGCCGGAGTCCTACTAAGGATCTGAACATGGTGAGAGGGAACTGTCTTTGGGAGTTTTTCTCCTGGTCTGGCAAGATTTGTTCCCCTACAGAGTTGCTGTGACTTTACTGGTGGTATCCTAATTTGTGTTTTTCCAACAAATTGTTTATTAACTCTGTCTTTCAGAACAGCACTATTCCTGGAACTTTTGCCCAAGGCTTGTTTGGGAGCCAAACTGCTCTTGATTTGATTATAAGAGTTAGTCTTTGGTTTACTTATTGTCTGTAATTCAGGATTTGACTTCCTTTCAGAGTCTGGTAAGGTTTGGGGCAAGTTCTCTTTGTTCATCTCTTTTAGACAGCTATCCAAGGGTTCATGTTCAATATGGTTATTGTCCACAGAGTCTGAACATTTAGTAGTTCCTTGATCTGCTACATGGTGCTTTGCAGTTTTCAATTCTTGCACATTAAGTGACCCTATAGTTTTTCTAGATAATTCTCCAGTAGTGGATGACCCAGCTTTATGCTGTGGTTGATGACTGCTGGAAGGCTTGCAGTTTGAGTTAGAAGAAACACATCCTGAAGTCAGCCTTTTACCCAGAAGTTTTGGTGACTCCAACTGTGGGTTCTGGGGTCCTGTATTATTGGCAGGTCTGGGTTGGAGTTTAATGCTGATGGGTCTTGTACCTTTGGTAGGCAAAGCAACACGATTGGTAACATCTTTTTTGGGTATAATATGCTAAAAAGACAAAGAAACATCAAAAAAATAAACTCATAACAATAACTCAGTTTTAAAAACAAAAAAAATTAGTAAAAAAACTAAAAAATTAGTTATTTAGAATTTCATTTAAGACAGCTAAATCTGAGAAAATAAAGGCATGAGTTGGGGGAGGGGCAGAGGGAGAGGGAGAAAATCTTAAGCAGACTCCCCACTGAGTGCAAAGCATAGAGAGCAATGAGGGGTTCGACCTGCAGCTTTATAAGGGACTTGATCTCATGACACTGAGATCATGACCTAAGCTGAAACCAAGAGTCAAGATGCTCAACCAATGGAGCCATCTGGTGTCATGTCCCTATAAGGTCTTTATAATTTGAGCTGTCACTAGAAATATACCAGAATATTTTAGCTTAATAGAATTAAGCAGAGATGCAGTGAACACACAAAAATTACATTTAAAAAATAAAATTTGCCTCAGTTGAACAAGTATTTGCTGAATGCCCATTATGTCCCAAATGAAGTGTCCTCCTAGGGACTCTGGAAAGATATATACATAATAAACTAATGGTAGGGTACCTCCCAAATTCCTCCTAGTAGTACTGTGTATTGCTACACTAATTTTTTTTTTAAACAACACTGCTTTTGTAAAGGTCACAGGGTCACTCAAGAACCTTTGTCTCATCCCTGGAGATCAGTGGCAATGATAGGTGGTAGATGCTGGGAGACCTGAGATACTTTGGAATAGTTTTCAATAAAGTTTTACATTTTAGTAGAAAGTTAGTTATATTTGTAAAGTCAGGACAGGGTTTTAAGGTTATATTCTACATTATCAACAAGTAAATGTTTCATTCATGTGATTTAATCTTGGATAAGAAAGGTAGGACTAGGTTATAGAGAACTTAAAAAAACTAGGGATAGGAGTTTATTTAGTTTTTTAAAATTTTTTAAGCAGTTTTTTTTTTTTAAGATTTTATTTATTTATTTATTTATTTATTTTTTTAAGATTTTATTTATTTATTTGACAGAGAGAGATCACAAGTAGGCAGAGAAGCAGGCAGAGAGAGAGGAAGAAGCAGGCTCCCCGCTGAGCAGAGAGCCTGATGCGGGGCTCGATCCCAGGACCCTGGGATCATGACCTGAGCCGAAAGCAGAGGCTTTAACCCACTGAGCCACCCAGGCGCCCCAAGATTTTATTTATTTATTTGATGGAGAGATCACAAGTAGGCAGGCAGAGGGAGAAGGGTAAGCAGGCTCCCACTGAGCAGGGAGCCTGATGAGGGGTTTGATCCCACGACCCTGAGATCATGACCTGAACTTAACACAGAGGCTTAACTCACTGAGCCACCCAGGAGCCAGGGAATGGGAGCTTAGAATTGATACAGTAAATAATTGGAGCAAGTCATTGTGGATTCCAGAGCATTTTCACTAAAAACAAGTTTCAGAAAGGAGAATTTGGCATAGATTTGTAGATTATATGTCTCCAGGGGAAGATATGGGAGTGCTAGAGTTACCACTCTTTACTTTTGATTTGGTAATATTGTTGAGAATTACTATGTAAACTTCGTGAATGTTTAAAGAAAATCTGTAACCAAAACCACTTGGCATTAACGGCAAAGAGATGTCCTCTCTAACGGCAAAGAGATGTCCGCTCTAGAATGGTATGTGAATGGTGGTGTTGCTGGTTGTGGTATAGGGGAGGGTTGGAAGTGGGAGGCAGGGAGATGGATGGATATCCACATGGTTATAGGGGGTTACTGCTTGAGCCCCAATGTTTACATCTACCTCTCACCATTCTATTATTGCTTACTGAATAGGAAGGGATGATGGTATCAAAGTTTCCAAACATGTGCTATTCCTTAGTTGTTGTTGTTGTTGTTTAAAGATTTTATTTATTTATTTGTCAGACAGAGAGAGCACGAGCAGGGGGAGCAGCAGGCAGAGGGAAAAGCAGGCTCCCTGCTGAGTAAGGATCCCCATGTGGGACTCAGTCCCAGGACTTTAGGATCATGACCTGAGCTGAAGGCAGACATTTAACTCACTGAGCCACCCAGGCATCCCTAGGCGTTCTTCTTCTTCTTCTTTTTTTAAAAATTGAGATATAATTTGTATCACAAAGAATTCCCCATTTTAAAGTTTGTAATTCAGTGGGTTTTAGTATATTCACAGGGTTGTATAACCATTGCCACTCTCTCGTTCCAGAATATTTTCATCACCCCAGAAAGAAATCCCATACCTGTTAGAAGGCATTCCTCATTTCCTTGTCCCCACAAACAGTGGCAACCACTAATCTATTTTCTGCCTCTACCGATTTGCCTAGTCTGGACCTTTTGTATAAATGGAGTCATACAATATGTGGCCCTCTCTGTCTGGCTTCTTTCACTTTGCAGAATGTTCTTGAGGATCACCCATATTGTAGCATGTGTCAGTCTTCACCACTATTTTTCAATAAAAAACTTTATTTTTAAGAGCAGTTTTAGGTTCAAAACAAACTTGAGTGATAAGTACAGAGAATTCTCCTATACACATGCACTGCATTATTTTAATGGCTGAATAAATATTTTATTTCATGGATATACCACATTTTCGTTTTTCCTTCATTGACTGATGGACATTTAGGTTGTTTACACTTTTTAGTTATTATGAATAATGTTGCTGTGAACATTTGTTATCAGCTTTTGTGTGAGCACGTTTTCAGTTCTCTTGGATATATACACAGGAGTAGAATTGCTAGGTCATATGGTAACTCTGTTTAAATTCTGAGGAACTGCTAAGCTGTTTCCCAAAGTGGCTGCAGCATTTTACTTTCCCACCAACATTGTATAAGAGTTCTAATTTCTCCATATCCTCCCCAATCCTTGTTATCTGTCTTTTTTGATTATAATCATCCTAGTGGGTATGAAGTAGTATTTAATTGTGGATTTTATTTGCATTTCTCTGATGGGTAATGATATGGAGCATCTTTTCATCTCTCTTTTTTTTTTTTAATTTAATTTTATTTATTTATTTATTTGACAGGCAGAGATCACAGGTAGGCAGAGAGGCAGCCAGAGAGAGAGGAAGGGAAGCAGGCTCCCTGCTGAGCAGAGAGCCCGATGCGGGGCTCGATCCCACGACCCTGAGATCATGACCTGAGCCGAAGGCAGAGGCTTAAACCACTGAGCCACCCAGGTGCCCCATCTTTTCATCTCTTATTGGCCATTTGTATATCTCCTTTGGAGAAAGGTCTATATAGATCTTTTGTCCATTTTATTATTATTATTATTTTCCTTTGCCCATTTTAATTATTTGTCTTTTTAATTGTTGACCTGCAAGAGCTCTTTATATATCCTGGATAGTACGTCATTATCATATATGACTTGCAAATATTTTCTCTTTTGTTCAGTTTTTATATCTTTATTTGAGATCAGCCTGACCTTGCTAATTTATTGTAAGTGGTAGAACTGGTTCTGCAATTTTAAGTACTACACTGAGAGAAAATCTAGACTTAGAAGAGTCATCAGGCTAATAGAATAGTCTGCAATCAATATGCAAATATAGAGAATTAAGGTTGAAATTTTATTATTATTATTATTATTTTTTTTTTTAAGATTTTATTTTTAGGTAATCTCTGCACCCAACATGGGGCTCAAACCTACAACCCTGAGATCAAGAGTTGCCCCTGAGCAAGGTGCCCCCAAGACTGGAATTGAGCCCCTCCATTTGAGAGGGAAAGTGAGCTGCTGAAGGTCAGGCAGGGTGTTAGGGACAGGGTTGAAGGTGGAACTTCAATCTCTAACTCTTGGTCTCTGATGACTCACTGCAGAATTGATGGATCAAACTGATTAAAAAAAAAATCAAAGACTATAGAAGAGGGAACAATTGATCTAAACTGAATTTGGTCACTTTATTTTGGACATATGAAGCCAGGGGAGAGAGAAAATGCACAAAGGATATGACTAGGGTTTATATTACAGCAGGTTTACTGAATATATGCTAGGCACTGTGCTAGACTCTAAGGGCATACAAGATGAGAAGGGAGGATACTTGCCCCTGAGGAGCACGAATAGAAAAGATATATGCACAAAAAAATTATGATATGATGAAATGAGGGCTGTAGTAAGGCTGAAAGAGATTGCAAAGCTCATTTTATCAGTGTTTTCAAGCACTTTTGTTCATATATGCCCAAAATAACTTTGACAAACCCTGTGCCTTTTCATACTTTTTAAAGTTAACATCTAAAGTTTTCATTGTTAGTTTAAATTAGTTGCAAAGGATGTAATTTCAGGCACAGTGTAAATATTGGCATTTTAAGATAAATGAAATTTGACACTCACTATAATTCATTTAGAAAACTATACAAATATATTCTTCTTTAAAAATTGAAAACATGAGGGGCACCTGGGTGGCTCAGTGGGTTGAAGCCTCTGTCTTCGGCTCAGGTCATGATCCCACAGTCCTGAGATTGAGCCCCGCATCGGGCTCTCTGCTCAACAGGGAGCCTGCTTCCTCCTCTCTCTCTGCCTGCCTCTCTGCCTACTTGTGATCTCTGTCAAATGAATAAATAAAATCTTAAAAAAAAAAAAATTGAAAACATGGGGTGCCTGGATGGCTCAGTTGGTTCAGCGTCTGCTTTCAGCTCAGGTCTTGATCCCAGGGTCCTGGGAGGGAGCCCCATGTTGGGCTCCTTGCTCAATGAGGAGTCTGTTTCTCCCTTTCCCCCTTCTTCTTCTTGCTCTCTCTCTCTCTTTCTTGTGTGCATGCTCTCTCTCTCTCTCTCAAATGAATAAAGTGTTAAAAAAAAAATGAAGGGGTGCCTGGGTGGCTCAGTGGGTTAAAGCCTCTGCCTTTGGCTTGGGTCACAATCTTAGGGTCCTGGGATAGAGCCCCACCTCAGGCTCCCTGCTCAGTGGGAAGCCTGCTTTCCCCTCTCTCTGCCTGCCTCTCTGCCCATTTGTGATCTCTGTCTGTCAAATAAATAAATCTTAAAAAAAAAAAAAAGGAAAACATAACACCTTTCCCTTTTTCCCTGGGTCTCTTTTTGTTCTAGTTAACCACAAAATTTTTAACCTAGATTTTTGTGCTTAGAAGCTTATAGTTCATTACCCTATCATACTTCTTAACATATATATGTTTATATGTATATATATGTTTATATATATTTTGTGTGTGTGTGTATTCCCTCTGAATAACTCCATGAGAAATCTCCTATTATTTTCATTTTACAGATAAAGTTATATAACTTGCCCAAGGTCGTGTTTGCTTTGGCAGCACATATAATAACTTGCCCAAGGTCATTTAGCTAGAAAATGAAGGAGTTAGGATTCGGACCTAGTCAGTTTTTAACAATTATACATCACAGTTTCTCAATAAATTTAAGGGTATGGCTCCAAGGAATCCTTTCAGATATTGGTTCAATATATTAAACTGCCAGATAGGAACAGAAAATGAAAAACTTTGTGTTCCTTTGAGTAGCAACACTGCAGTAAGAGTATGCCAGAAGAGCTTTGTTCAAGTCTTAAGTCTGTATAATTACTGGCTGTATAATTTTGGCAAAGTACTCAATTTCCTTGATCCTAAGTCCTCTCATTTGTAAAATAACAATAATGATATATATCTTCTAGGAAGTGTGTCATAACATCCTATTTTTCACAAGATAGTTTTTATTTATGATCATTAGCCCAACATAACAGTACCTCCTTTTATTCATGAAGGTATCTGGACATTAAATCATAAGGCCACCTTTCTTACAGGGTTCTTTTGAATATTAATTGAGATATTATGTGCAAGTGTCTCGCCCAGTATCAGGATGATAATAAGTACTCAAATGTTAGCTATTATAATTAGGTATGAAAATGTTTATAAATTTTTTATAAATTATAAGGGATTATACAATTGTAATGATGACTATTATTTGCCTAGTCCTCTTAGTTCCTCCTGTTCCATACTTGCCTTTCCCACTTAATTTTTATCTTCACAACTGGGTAAAAAAGAGGTAGGCCTCATCCCATTTAAGAGATGACTTACTGAAATCAGTATTGTCAGCTTCCCAGAGAAGCCTCTGGGAACTCTGAATGAGGACGCTTTTTTCCCAGCAGATTTTTCGTTTAATACTTGTGTGCTACACTAATTCAATCTACATGAAGAAGAAGTCTAACCCAGTGATCACATCATGATCTGCCAGTGTTGTCTTACATATATTTTCTATCCTTCAGTGTCTAATGATGTTATATGTAGCCTTTCAGAAGGCTAATTTTTTCCATTTAAACCTTGAAAATGTGAGGATCCTTTACCACTCTATCCATAATATAGCTGAACTGAACTGTTTAGGAAGCATAGCTTGTTAGTAGCTTGGAAGATCCAATATAGGTGTTCCCTTTAAATGAGCCATTTAACTTCATGGCAGCATACCCAAGTGGTTAAGACCACAGGTTCTCACTCTCATGACTTGAGCCAAAATCCAGAGTCAGCCACTCAACTGCCTGAGTTACGCAGTTGCCCCCCAAATGATGATGATTATATTTTAAAGATGTATTTAATTTATTTATTTGAGAGAGAGAGAGAGAGAGAAAGAGTGAGTCCATGAGCGGGGGGAGGGGCAGAGGGAGAGGATCTCAAGCAGACTCCGTGCTGAGACGTGGGGCTCGATCTCATGACCCTGAGATCATGACCTGAGCTGAAATCGAGAATCAGCCGCTTAATGGGCTGAGCCACCCAGGTACCCCCAAAATGATTATTTTTTGAAAGACTAATTTCTACTTACAGATTTAGAAGGTGGAGGATTCAGACAATTGCTCTTGGCTTTTAGATAAGGCCTATAAAAGACAAAATAAGATTAATTCTTACTACAGAAGGATCAGCAAGGCCTGGGAAGTATAGTGATTAAGATTTATTAAGATTAGAATTTTAAATCATTGGAATTTCTGTATATTGTAAAATAATTCAAAATTATATGCAATAAAGTCTCCTTATTACCCCTTTCTTAGTCTTGTTATTCTACTCCTCAGTGACCACACCACTCTTACCCATTTTTTTGTGATCCTTTCAGAAATGTCCTATGCATAAATGTAGCATTCTAACAAGATTAATGAAATACATGTCTTCTTCATATTTGCATACTGTTGTTCATTGAAACATCATTTCTTGAATACTGCAGTATGCAATATTGTAGAGATATGATGTCAAGAAGGTAATTAACAGCTTCTTTGAAAAACTTCCATTTTCAAGTTTTAAGTATCTTCAGATAATGAATATTCAGAGGTGAAAAAAGAGATAGAATTAAAAGAACAGGAGGACATATGAAATCTAGCCAGTGAGCAGAAAATGTAAGAATGGATAGGAAAGTAGAGGGGTTTAGAAGGATTCAATCTGCATGGATCAAAAACAATTCCCAGACTAAAAGGGACTTTGATCATAATTTGCTGTTAGTTTCCCACATCTTGAACATAAACCCTGGAGGGGGAGGGACCTCTCTGTCTTGTTAAGTACCACATCTCCAGAACCAAGATTGACTGATATATTATATGTATTAAATAAATATTTGTTGAATAAATGAATTAAATTTATTTAATTAAGGAAATAGACTTGAGTAAAACCCCAAAGTTAAAGGAAACTAAAATAAAGGGTCAAAGCTAACTTTGTAAAAATTCAGTTCCTCTTCTTTGGGGAGAAAATATATCAATGTTAAGCAAGAGGGACTAATAACACCACTACAATGGCAAGATGTTGATGGAAGATAAAAGCGAAACAGTCATATTCTGTCCAACTCAAGAGTAAGTGCTGAGAGAATGGCCAAAGACCATTGTCCGGTTGGAGGATATTGGTGTGGAGCTATGGAGGACTGACTATAACTGGCTCTCCTGCCTTAGCAAGGAACAAAACCAGAGTCATTCAACTCCTTGACCTTTTCTAGCCTTCACAAGAATCACTTCCCCAGGGAAAAAAGCAGGGATAGGAAAAGCTTCCAGCATTGTAGGTAATACTGTGGATCTCCCCCACCATCCCCCACCTTTAGAGACTGTCACAATATTAGTGCTTAACCTGCTTAGTTTTTTTTTTTTTTTTGTTATGTTTGGACCAATGTACTCTTTTCTGAGTTATCATAGGCTCTCAATGCAGTTTGAGTAGACTGCAAACAAAAAGGCTATTTTTTTTTAAAGATTTTATTTATTTATTTGACAGACAAAGATCACAAGTAAGCAGAGAGGCAGGCAGAGAGAGAGGAGGAAGCAGGCTCCCCGCCGTGCAGAGAGCCCGACTCGGGGCTCAATCCCAAGACGCTGGGATCATGACCCTAGCTGAAGGCAGAGGCTTTAACCCACTGAGCCACCCAGTCGCCCCAAAAGGGGCTATTTTTTTTTTAAAGAGTATGTCCTTTCTTTAAAAAAAAAAAATGTTTATTTGATAGAGAGAAAGAGAGTAGAAACAGGGAGAGAAGGAGAAGTAGGCTCCCCACTGAGCAGGGAGCCCAACATGGGGCTCCATCCCAGGACCCTGGGATCATGACCTGAGCCGGAGGAAGACACTTAACCAACTGAGCCCCCCAGACACCCCCAAAGGACTATGTTTTGAAAGGCTTTAAATTGCTAGTAGCAATGAAGGCAACAAAACTTGCATAATTGTGTGAGACAAACTCACTTGGTGTTTTGGCACTTCAGTTTTCCCTTGGCTGCTAGGTACTCCTGGAGCTTTCTCTGCCGCTCTTCTGCAAAATAGGCAGGAAAACAAACAGCAGAACTTTAGTTGGAGATTTCTTTTTTAATATTTTATTTATTTATTTGAAGGAGAGAGATCTCAAGTAGGCATAGAGGCAGGCAGAGAGAGAGAGGGGGGGGAGGGGAAGCAGGCTCCCTGCTGAGCAGAGAACCCGATGTGGGACTCCATCCCAGGACCTGAGCTGAAGGCAGAGGCTTAACCCACTGAGCCACCCAGGTGCCCCTAGTTGGAGATTTTAACTAATATTCTAAAAGATGGCACTCTTCTGTAATAATTTTGGCTTTGGACTGTCCATATGTTACAAAGTTCCTAACCCCACAAATTTGCCTCCAAGTTAATGTCTATATTAAAAATATTATCAGTATGCCATGTCCTATACTGAGCTCTTCATACTTACATTACTTTCTTTAATCCACACAACAATCCTATGTGGTATTTTACAGGCTGAAATCTAAAGAGGGTAAATGATATGCCCAAATCATCTAGCTAATATGTAGCAAAGCCAGGATTTGAAACCAAGTTTATCCAACTCCAGAGTCCTTGCTCACAGCCACCGTTCTTAGCTATAACGTATTATGTTTTGCATGAAGAAATCTTTTATTGGCTTATCAGAGCTGGTTAACCAGTCCTGGTCTTTTTTTTTTTTTTTAATATTTTATTTTTTTAAGTAGGCTCCACGCCCAGCATGGATCTCAATGTGAGGTTTGAACTCACGGCCCTGATATCAAGACCTGAGTTGAAATCAAGAGTTCAATGCCTAACCAACTGAATCACCCAGGAGCCACTGGTCTGGTCTTATTAATTATGTGTTTTGTGTTTTTTGTTTTTTCGACAGGGATGATGATTTTTGCCACAAACCCTTACATGGTTTTCTTTGAACCTAAGGACAAAATAGGCCAGGTTAGGGGGTTCATGGCAAACATCTATTACATGGTGACTTTCTTTTTTTTAAAAAAGATTTTATTTATTTATTTGACAGAGAGATCACAAGTATGGAGAGCAGCAGGCAGAGAGAAAGGGGGAAGCAGGATCCCTGCTGAGCAGAGAGCCTGATTCGGGGCTCGATCCCAGGACCCTGAGATCATGGCCTGAGCCTAAGGCAGAGGCTTAACTCACTGAGCCACCCAGGAGCCCCTACATGGTGACTTTCTAAGCAAGGCATTTGTGAGGGTATGAAAATTCAGTATTTCTGTCTTCAGGAAGTTTCAATCTAGGAGTGAAAATAAAATAAACAACAATAATTACAATATAGGGAAAAATCTAGGTATCCTAAGAAAGGGTCAAAGAAAGAATTATGAGAGTTCAGAAGCAGGGAATGAGTGAGAGGAATAGTAGGTGGTTGGAGAAGGCTAAAATTTAATAATGGCAAAAAAAAAAAAGACAATGGGGTGCAAAACAACTCTTAATTTCATTAAACCGAGTTGCTGTGTGTTTTGATATCCAGCTCTGATGCATCCTTAGGAGACAACTTTGAGGATTATGCATTTTACTGTGCCAGGCAGTGTAGAGAGCGCTGGCTGAGAGACGGGGTCAGAATCCCAGCGCTGTGGCTTCTAGCAAGTTAGCAAACCTCACTGCTGCTGAACCTATAAAATAGAGACAGAAATGCCCATCTTTAAGGGCTGTTATGTAAAGTGCCTAGGACAGTGCCCATGACCTAGCAGATAGTCAACAAGTAGTATTACTGAAACTATCAAAACACTGTGTGCATTTGGGAGTTGGTAGCATCTGAGCCATATTTTGAAAGGCAGCTAAGGACTCCTGGTACATTTAAGAGATCAGACAATCTGAGGGTTTTGAAGGGGCGGGGGGTGGGAGGTTGGGGGAACCAGGTGGTGGGTATTAGAGAGGGCACGGATTGCATGGAGCACTGGGTGTGGTGCAAAAACAATGAATACTGTTATGCTGAAAATAAAAAAAAAATTAAAAAAAAAAAAAGAGAGATCAGGGAACCCAGGACCCTCAGTTCTCGGTGCAGATTTAACCAACTTCCAGTGCCCACGCCCGCCCTTTCGCCCCCCAACCGCGTCCACCGCCCCCCTTTAGGGTCAGACACCGCCTCTTGGCAGCTGTCAAAGATCGGGCGGCAGCACAGAGGACCACGCCCAGGCTCTGCCAGGAGCCAAATCTGGGTTAGGGAGCGCTTGGCTTCCTTTGGGGTGTGCGACCCGGTGAAGGGGTCTCAGGTTCTCCACCTACACGAGATGACAATGACGTCTCTTTGCAGAGCTGCTGCAGGAATTACGGGGAAGATGCCTATAAGGCATCTGGCTCCGCATCTACTCTCCCTACCCAGGGCCAGGGCCTGGGCTCGCATCAGCGCTCCCTGGACTGGAAACGCGCAAGGGGGAGACTGAGGCACGGGAGCGCACCGACACTTCCCTCTAAAATAACTGACTCGGTGGCTTCCCTTTTTCCCCGCCCCTGCTGGAGCGCCTGCAAGACGCAGGGCCTCACGATCTTACTCACCGGCAGCTGCGGACGGCCCCGGTGGCACCATGACACCTCCGCGACAGTTTTTCTTCAAAGCCCGCGCCTGAAGCTACGGACGGGGCCCAACGCGTCCTCTCGCTCTCATTGGCTTCTGTGGGTTTGAAACCCGCCAATAGGAAGCAGGGGAGGGCGGGACAAAAGGAATAGGGGCCTTTCGGTTGGCTCTACTCTTCGAGCCCTCCCCGGGGGCCCTTTGATTGGAAGAACGTGCAGCTCCCGGACATTAAAGGCGGCTGCGGGAACCTGCGACCGCGTCCGCGGTAGAGTCCGGCTGGTTTCTTCTGAGGGACCGTGCACTGCCGGTCGTGGAGTCGGGTGGAGTCGGTTACGAAAACCCGCTCGGCAGCATAGGCAGGGCCGCCTTACTCCTCTCACACTCTTAAGAGTCACAGGAGCTCTGAAAACAATAAGGTAAACCCCAAATCTGATGAATTCGGAGCGCGTCACCAGCATATTAGCTTTACTTGTGAACGTTCTCATGAATCTAAAAGCTCTAAGTTCTTAGTACTGCAAGGTGGCTGCTCTTTTCTAAAAAATTTTTTCTTTTTAACCGAAGTAACATACACCTAACGGAAGTTGCCGTTTTAACCAGATTTAAGTGTACAGTCCAATGGCATTAAGTACATTCACTATGTTGTACAACCCTCACCACCATCCAAATCCCAAACTTGTTTATGGTCCCAAATAGAAACTCTATCCCCATTAAAGGGGAAATCCACCCTTCCCTTGGGGGGAGGAGGGGAAGCACCATTTCACTTTCTATGTGTGATTTTGATTACTCAGGGACCCCCATTTAGGTGGTATTGTCGACTTATTTCCCTAAGCAGTAAGTCCTCAAGGTTCATCCATGTCGCATCATATGGCGGGATCTCCTCCCTTTCTAAGGCGGAATCATATTCCCTTGTATGCTTGTACCACCTTTATCCTTCATCTGTGGATGGACACTTGGGTTGTTTCCACCTTTTAGCTGCTGTGAGTAACCCTGCTGTGAACATGGGTGCACAGCTACCTGTTGGCATCTCTGTTTTCAATTCTTTGGGGGTGTTTATAGAAGGAGTATTGCTGGATTATATGGTATTTCTATTTTTAATTTTTAGAGGAAGTGCCATGCTGCTTTTAGAGTGGTTCCTTTTTAAGTCTTCCTGAGTCATTAGACACACCCCACGCCTCTTATTTCAGCCTGAAAAGTTTTCCTTCAAAGCTTGCCCCCTGTTTTGCCTATTCGCTGGTTTCACGAAGAGGTCTGGGGAATGTTTCCGGTATTCTGCATGTCAGGGTACCTCTCTCCTGGATGCTGAGAAGGTGGGTAGAGAGGGAGTCATGTCTGGGTCCCTGTTTGCCACATTTGCTTCACCAGTTGGGCACTCAGCTGGGCATGAAGCTATCATAGCAGCTTTTCACTTTGGCCTCAAGTGGGGAGTTTAGCAGGGAGCCATTCAGAGGTTTCTGGATTTATGCATTTTCATATTTACGTTAATTATATACAAATATGCTTCAAATACAACAACTGACTATTATTATTTTTTAAAGATTTTATTTATTTATTGACAGATCACAAGTAGGCAGAGAGGCAGGCAGAGAGAGAAGGGGAAGCAGGCTCCCTGTGGTGCTCGATCCCAGGACCCTGGGATCATGACCTGAGCCGAAGGCCAGGGCTTTAACCCACTGAGTCACCCAGACGCCCCCAACTGACAATTATTTTAATGAAAATTTTGGACTCTTTGTCGAGGACCACGAGCCTTCCTAATGGTTAACACTAGCAGCTGGGCAAGAGCCTTTTTGGTTAATGAGTAAGAAAGGGGCTTGTTTACAGACAGTTTCAGAAAAGCAGAGGGAGTTCTGTTGGTCTTTATGGAATCTTAGTAATTGAATGGATTTCAAATTATCTTGCCTGATCTCCCACCCAGTGCTAGAATATTCTATAGATTCCATTAGGTGTTTCATCTTTGCAGGAATATTGCTGGTGTCAAGGAATTGCCTTACCTTATTAGAAAGCCCTGATTATTATGAAACTTTCTTTAAAATGAGCTCAAATAAGCCTCTTACTAATTGGTCCCACTTTGAGTAACAGGCCAGTTCCGCACCCTTTTCTACATTCTTTGGATAGTTGAGGGACTATTTTGTGGCACACAAAGTGTGGAAAGAAAGCTAGGTAGTTTTTTTTTTTTTTAAGTATTCAGCTTGTCATTTTTATTGTTTTTTTTTTTTTAATCAAGATATAATGTATTATTTGTTTCAGGGGTGCAGGTCTGTGATTCATCAGTCTTACACAATTCACAGCACTCACCATAGCATATACCCTCCCCAATGTCCATCACCCAACTACCTCATTCCTCCCAACCCCCTCCATTCCAGTAACCCTCAGTTTGTTTCCTGAGATTAAGAGTCTCTTATGGTTTGTCTCCCTCTCTGGTTTCGTCTTGTTTCATTTTTCTCTCCCTTCCCCCTATGATCCTCTATCTTGTTTCTCAAATTCCTCATATTAGTGAGATCATATGGTAATTGTCTTTCTCTGATTGGCTTATTTTGCTTAGCGTAATACCCTTTAGTTCCATCCATCTCCTTGCAAATGGCAAGATTTCATTTTTTTTTTGATGGCTGCAAAATATTCCATTGTATATATGTACCACATCTTTATCCATTCATCTATTGATGGACATCTAGGCTCTTTCCATAGTTTGGCTACTGTGGACATGCTGCTATAAACCTTGGGGTACACGTGCTCCTTTGGATCACTACATTTGTGTCTTTGGGGTAAATACCCAGTAGTGTGATTGCTGGGTCATAAGGGTAGCTCTATTTTCAAATTTTTGAGGAACCTCCATACTGTTTTTCAGAGTGGCTGCACCAGCTTGCATTCCCACCAACGGTGTAGGAGGGTTCCCCTTTCTCTGCATCCTCGCCAGCACCTGTCATTTCCTGACTTGTTAATTTTAGCCATTCTGACTGGTGTGAGGTGGTATATCACTGTGGTTTTGATTTGTATTTCCCGGATGCTGAGTGATGTTGAGCACTTTTTCATGTGTCTATTGGCCATCTGGATATCTTCTTTGCAGAAATGTCTGTTCATGTCCTCTGCCCATTTCTTTTTTTTTTTTTTTAAGATTTAATTTATTTATTTGACAGGCAGAGATCTCAAGTAGGCAGAGAGGCAGGCAGAGAGAGAGAGGAAGCATGCTCCCTGCTGAGCAGAGAGCCTGATGCGGGGCTCTATCCCAGGTCCCTGAGATCATGACCTGAGCTGAAGGCAGAGGTTTAACCCACTGAGCCACCCAGGCGCCCTCTGCCCATTTCTTGATTGGATTATTTGTTCTTTGGGTGTTGAGTTTGATATGTTCTTTATAGATTTGGGTACTAGCCCTTTATCTGATATGTCATTTGCAAATATCTTCTTCCATTCTGTTGGTTGTCTTTTGATTTTGTTGACTGTTTTCTTTGCTGTGCAAAAGCTTTTGATCATGATGAAGTCCCAATAGTTCATTTTTGCTCTTGCTTCCTTCGCCTTTGGTGATGTTCCTAGGAAGAAGTTACTGCGGCTGAGGTTGAAGAGGTTGCTGCCTGTGTTCTCAAGGATTTTGATGGATTCCTGTCTCACATTGAGATCTTTCATCCATTTTGAGTCTATTTTTGTGTGTGGTGTAAGGAAATGGTCCGGTTTCATTTTTCTGCATGTAGCTGTCCAATTTTCCCAACACCATTTGTTGAAGAGACTATCTTTTTTCCATTGGACATTCTTTTCTACTTTGTCGAGGATTAGTTGACCATAGAGTTGAGGGTCCATTTCTGGGCCCTCTATTCTATTCCATTGATCTATGTGTCTGTTTTTGTGATAGTACCATACTGTCTTGATGATTACAACTTTGTAATAGAGCTTGAAGTCCAGAATTGTGATGCTGTCAACTTTGGTTTTCTTTTTCAACATTCCTCTGGCTATTGGGGGTCTTTCCTGGTTCCATGCAAATTTTAGGATTCTTTGTTCCATTTCTTTGAAAAAAGTTGATGGTATTTTGATAGGGATTGCATTAAACGTGTAGATTGCTTTAGGTAGCATAGACATTTTCACAATATTTGTTCTTCCAATCTATGAACATGGAATGTTTTTCCATTTCTTTGTGTTTACCTCAGTTTCTTTCATGTGTATTCTATGGTTTTTTGAGTACAGATCCTTTGCCTCTTTGGTTAGATTTATTCCCGGGTATCTTATGATTTTCGGTGCAACTCTAGGGGATCGACTCCTTAATTTCTCTTTCTTTTGTCTTGTTGTTTTATAGAAAGGCAACAGATTTCTGTGCATTGATTTTATATCCTGACACTTTACTGAATTCCTGTATGAGTTCTAGCAGGTTTGGGTGGAGTCTTTCTGGTTTCCTGCATAAAGTATCATATCATCTGCAAAGAGTGAGTTTGGACTTCTTCTTTGCCAATTTGGAAGCCTTTTATTTCTTTTAGTTGTCTGATTGCTGAGGCTAGGACTTCTGGTACTAGAATATATAACCACTGAATAAGAGTGGTTATAGGGACATCCCTGCCGTGTTCCTGACCTTAGGGGAAAAGCTCTCAGTTTTTCCTCATTGAGAATGATATTTGCTGTGGGTTTTTCATAGATGGCTTTGATGATATTGAGGTATGTACCCTCTATCCCTACACCTTGAAGAGTTTTGATCAAGAAAGGAAGCTGTACTCTGTCAAATGCTTTTTTGGCATCTATTGAGAGTATCTCATGTCTCCTGTTCTTTATTTTATTAATGTGTTATATCACATTGGTTGATTTGCATATGTTGAGCCAAACTTGCAGCCCAGGAATAAATCCCACTTAGTTACGGTGAATAATCCTTTTTTTTTTTTTTTAAGATTTTATTTATTTATTTGACAGAGAAAGATCACAAGTAGGCAGAGAGGCAGGCAGAGAGAGAGAGGGAGGGAGAGAAGCAGGCTCCCCGTTGAGCAAGTAGCCTGATGCGGGGCTCGATCCTAGGACCCTGAGATCATGATCTGAGCCAAAGGCAGCGGCTTAACCCACTGAGCCACCCAGGTGCCCCAAATAATCCTTTTAATATATTGTTGGATC